GTTTGTATCTTTGCTCCTGTAGAGGTATGGCATTTTTTCTCTCTGGCTTCTTTTAATAATTTTTTCTTCATCTTTGATTTTCTTTCATTTGAAAATAATATTCCTGGGTGTAGGTTTTATGACATTTATCTTACTTGTTATTTTCTAAATTTCCTGAATCTACAATTTGATATCTGATGTTAATTTGGGGAAATTTCCACTCATAAAGATTTAATGCTGCTTGTGGTCAAATCTTTTTCTTTTCCCTTGCTCCCTTCCCTCCTTTCTTTTCCTTCCTTCCTTTTTCTTTCTTTTTTCCTTCCTTCCTTCCTTCCTTCCTTCCTTCCTTCCTTCCTTCCTTCCTTCCTTCCTTCCTTTCTTCCTCCCTCCCCCCTCCCTCCATTCTTTCCTTTTTTCCTTCTTCTGATATTTCCATTATGCATATTTTTGTAGTTGTCTCATAGTCCTTGAATATTCTGTTTTGTGTTTTTTTCTCTTTGCTTTATAGTTTTGGTGGTCTCTAGTGATATGTTTAAGTTCAGAGATTCTTTCCTCAGCTGTGTCCAACCTAGTAATAAGACTATCAAAGGCAAAATTTCTCTTATAGAATTTTTTAAATCTCTAGCATTACTTTTGGTTCTTTCTTAAAATTTCCATCTTTAGCCCTGGCTGCTGTAGCTCAGTGGATTGAGCGCAGGCCTGCGAACCAGAGGATCGCGGTTCAATTCCCAGTCAGGGCACATGCCTGGGTTGCAGGCCAGTTCCCTGCAGGTCAGTTCCCAGCAGGGGACACACTAGAGGCAACCATACATTGATATTTCTCTCCCTCTCTCCTTCCCCTCTAAAGATAAATAAATAAAATCTTTAAAAAATTATCAGAAAAAAAATTTCCATCTTTACTTACATTACCCTTCTATTCTTGCACACTGTCTACTTAATGCATTAGAGCACTTAGCATATTAGTACTACATTCCTATCTGATAATTTCAACATCACTGCCATATCTGAGTCTGGTTCTCATGTTTGCTCTGTCTCTTCAAACTGTGTTTTCATATATATATGGCTAGAGTGGGCTGGATATGGCATCAGTAGACAGGACCATAATTTATTTAACCAATTCTATTTTCCAAGAGGTTTGAAAGGGACCTTGGAGGAACTTCAAAACACTCTCCCTTGTTTTCTTCTCTGTGCTTTCTCTGAAAGGCATATCCAGCTCCCATTAGCTCATTCCTGCCTTGCCTCAGATGAACAGCCCAAAACTATGTGGTCCCTCTATTTACACCCTTCATTTGTCTCTAGGTTTTCTCTAGTTGAACAGACACTGTAATAAACATCCTCAGAGCTAAATCTCTTTGCATATATGCAAGCATTAATGATTGATAGGAATTGCCTAACTGCTTGCCATAAATTTATATATCACCCCAAAATGATAAAGCACCTGTTTCCTGCATGCTGGCTAACATTGTGATTTGCCTTTATATTATCTTTGCTAATTTGGTAGGTTAAAAGAACAAATGAAAAAGAAATCTTGTTTAAATTGTGTATTTTTATTACTAGTCAGGCATAGCTTTTTTAAGTCTATTTATTGGCAATTAGCTTTACTTTTTTGTGTGAGTTGCCTGATTCTTGCCCTTGGCCTATTTTTCTTTTTAAATATTTGTGTTTTTCTTCTACTGTGTTATTAAGTTTTTAATATAGTAAAAATATTAGTCTTTGACTCCCATATATACTGCAAGCATTTTACTAGTTTATTTGCCTTTATTTTGTTTTTGCTGTTTTTTAACATAGAGAATTTCATTTTCCTGTAGCTGAATCTTCGTTATCATGCTTCAAAAGACCTTTCTCAGCTCAGGATTAAACATCTGTTCATAGTTTCTTTTTGGACATTCAAGTATTTTTTAACATTTTAATCTTTACCTTTTATAGATTTGGGCTGGAATATACAGTGAGTTAAAGAACTAACATTATTTTTTAATGATTAGCCAATTTTAATCACATTTTTGTAACTGATTATCCCTGGTAAATGGGAAAATCAATTATTTTTATGCATTGATTTTAAAATTAGCAATATTTCTGTATTTTTTCTTATTCTAATTTTTAGTTGATACTCTGTTTTTCTAAGTAGAAAATTATATACTCATATTTCTAATATTCATAGTTCTGGTTTTATTTTCTTTTATTTCTTTGCTTCTAATTTTTAGACCAGACTTAAATAATAATGTAGGTATTATGTTATTTTCTTTCCTAACCAAAATTAATCTGGTATTTTGTTCTCTGTTATTTTTAATTTTACAAAATTGAATGTCTTTTTTATGTTATTTTGCTATTGCAAAAACTTACACTTATAGGAAACCTTCAGTTATGTGTCCCTTTGCATGTTCAGTGAGGTTCTAGGGACCTCTCGTTGGTAGAATCTGAGTTCTGGTTGAGAACTTGTGAGATGAGGAAGGCATGGTAGTTAGAGGCATTCTCTCTATATCTCTCCTCAAGTCAGTCAGCCACTTTGGCCCTAACAGTTAGTAGAAAAGTCCCCACACTCCAAATGGCTGAGTATTTGCTATAAGGAAACCCTTGTAAATATCATCCTATAGCCTAAGAACCATCTACCCTATAATATGTGAAATGATATGATTTCCTATAATATCTACTGCATTTTTCTAGCCTGTGTCAACTGAAAAAAGAACTATTCTGAAGTCACAAATTATTTTGTCATTTTGTATTTTTTAAAGCTGGTGATTGGGAGTGAGGATAGAGAAAATAAAGGCTTGCCCCTGAACTCTACTCTGATTTAGTAGTAGACAAGAGGTTTGAAAGGGACCTTGGAGGAACTTCAAAACACTCTCCCTTGTTTTCTTCTCTGTGCTTTCTCTGAAAGGCATATCCAGCTCCCATTAGCTCATTCCTGCCTTGCCTCAGATGAACAGCCCAAAACTATGTGGTCCCTCCATTTACACCGAAGCAGCTTCTTTGGTAATTTCATGAAGTCTGCTGGCCTAATATGTTCCCCTGACCTTGACTGAGGCCTTGAAGTTCCATATTATTGCTTTTCATTTAAGTATTGAAGTCTCATTTAACAGACAGATGGTACATTCAGACCCAGTAGGGGTTACCCCATTAGGCTGTTCTTGGCCATCTACTCCTTAGCATACTAGAGTCCAGATTCTCAAGTTGATCCTCCAGCAGATTCTTGAGGGAAAAACTACAGTGAGGTCTTAATGTGGCATGATGGTGGGGGGTGGATATTTAGACAGACAATCTTTGGTAGGTTCCATTATACACCCTGTGTACTAAATGAAGGATGGTTATTGGAGAGGGAACAGAAACTAGTCAAAGACCCTTGGTATAGGCACCAAGTTTTGCCCATGGTATCCCTATCTGGTTAACATGTGCTGCAGCTTGAGTTGTCTCTTTCTTCCCCAGTGTTTCTCCTGTTCCCCCTTTTGTTTTCCATCCCTTCTTTGACTTTTCTCTCTCCTGCCCCCCTTTCCAAAGTCCTTTGCCATTTGTCTCTGTAGATTCTGGCACCTGGAAAGGCATTCTGGACATTTCCTTCCTCACCAACTGCCCATCTCCCAACTCTCCTGACAGCTCTTCTTTCTTGCTTGCTTCATGCCTCTTTCTTTCTCTGTTTCCACTTTATGCATATACTTGATATTGCCAGGCATGCCAAAGAATTTAAGAGGGTTATTCAAAGCTTTGTGTACCTACCACTCCAAATAAATGGAGTTGGTTGAATTGAGGCATTTTTTTTTGTTCTCTGATCAGGACGGAAACTTTAGAGTTTTACACTGAATTTATATTTATTCAAAATATTTTTATTTTATTAAATAATGGGAACATGAATTTTGCAAAATAAACTACAGTAGTCTCTCTTTATCTGTTGGGTATATACATTTCAAGACCTCCAGTGGATGCCTGAAATCACAATATATACTATGTTTTATCCTACATATACATAGCTTCTCTTTGTCATATCTGAATTCCCAGCATCACTATTCTTGTGCTTTGGGGCTATTATTAAGTAAAATAAGGAGTACTAGGGCACAAACACTGTGATTCTGTGACAGTTGATCTGATCATCTAGATGAGCAATTGTTAACAGATGTGACACAAAAATCTTTAAAACATACACTATCTGTTTAGTCAGTGTCACTGACCTCTTTTTTCCTTATATTTTCAAATAAAAAAGTGAAAAGAGCCCATACAATCATCTGGTATTAATGCCCTGTCTTGAACCATGAATATATAGTTATATCTTATTGGTCACATCATATAATAAGGTTTAATCTGGTTTGTTAATTCTTGTTACCAGAAATCCTTATATACAAGTATAGGCACCTGATTTTTTGAAAAGTCACTTTAGAGGAAAAAGGGTAGGTAGTTACTATTTTTTGTTGTGTATCAATCAAAATTATACCTATTTTTGTCAGATCATCAAAAAATATAATGTAATTTTTGGTGTGCCTCAGAATTTTAGTGATTAGTTTATGTGTGCCATGAGATGAATAAGGTTTAAAATTACTGATCTAGATTATTATTAAGTGACTAATGGTCAAGGAGTGTATATAGTATGGTGATGCTGAACAGAGGGTTGATTCACATCCTGGGTGGGATAGTGTGAGATTTCATTATACTGTGCAAAATGATGTACAATTGAAATGTTATGGATTGCTTTTTTCTGGAATTTTCTATTTAACATTTCTGTACTGCCGTTTACTAGGTAACTGAAACTGGAAAGCAAAACCAAGGATAAGAAGAGACTACTGTATATTGTAAATTTCCATGCTTTTCCAATTAAGCACCTTTGTAGCTATAATCAATACATAAGAGAGATATCCTGAGTGAAAATGTAAGGGTTGACTGTTTTCACATGTCACATCTCTAAATGGATAATCAACCATTCTTTGAATAATTGCTTAGACTCTCTTCTTGGCTTCAGCAGCACTTAAGATCTCTTGTTTCCCTTTTTGTTGTGTGTATGTCCCTGTGGTGGTACACATTGTGGGCTCTGGCAACTCCAGGGTGAAGTCTTGTCTATGATCAGAAGAGTGGGTGACAACTGGGCAGAGGGAATGCTGGGAGACAAGGTCGGAATTTTTCCCCTCCTATATGTGGAGGTAAGGCTACACTGTCTAAGGCTTGCCTCCTCTTTTGCTCATGTTGTTTATTTCATCAGACCAGGTGGGACCTGACTTTGGAGCCCTCATTCTAACAGAGAAAGAGGCTATTCCACAGTAATTAAAAATGAAACAGGGTTTGTAGTCATTACTTCAGTGCTATGAAAACTGCCTTGGTCAGGTTCAAGTAATCTGTCACAGGCTGAGCTGTAAATTATCTCACTGTGTGGGCAACAAAGGAGGGTTTCTTGTGGGCCTTGCCCAGTTTTGATGGGAAACCTGTGCTGGCACCCATTTTCTGAGACTCTCCATAGTACTGTTGCTTTGTTTCTCCAACCCCAGAGGAGCAGAGCTCATACAGAGATGAAGGAAACACTGCCAGACTATTGGCAGTCTTCCCAGGATTCTGCATTATTGGGCAAGTTCATCCATCTGCCAGTCACTAAAGTAAAGAATATTTAGGCTAATTTGAGGCCCATTAACTTCCTTTCTCTTTTCTTTAACTGTGAAGCACTGGGTTTCTAGTGAGTAAATTATGGTTCATTCCTGAATAGGGAGTGTGTTAGAATGCTTGACTTCTCAACCCCTGTTCACCATTGTGTGTATAAGAGTGTTTGCTGTGTGTGTGTACATGCATACACATGCACCATTTGTCAGTGCATTTGCACGTGTGCATTCATGAGCAGACCACAGGTGCCACCCTGTGACCACTGGAGTCACCCCTGATAAGAGGCAGAGCTGGGACTTGAATACAGGTTATTTGCCCTAGACTTAGGCCCTCAGTCCCCTACCCTCACTAAGAAACCATGGTTCGCTCAGCTTAGAAGGTGACATGGCCAGCTTTGCCACACCTACCAAAAGTATGTGAGTGCCAGTAGGTATTTGTTAAACACATCTGGTGATTCTGGTTGCTTATGGGATAAAGCCCAATTGCTTTAGCATGGCATTAAAAGCACTTTGCAGTTTGACCCTAATCTATTTTTCTATTCTCATCTCTTGTCATTTCTTTCCCCTTCCCTAAATTTTCTGGTCCTCTCATTTATTTTAGGAAACCTGCCCAGGACAATCTGAGACTTCCCACAACAATAAAAATAAGTGCACACACACACATCCATTCTTCTATAGTACACCTGTAAGATTCACAATTTCCCTAACACCATATGACCTCCTATTTGTGCATTTGGTTTAATTCCCAGAAGGGTGTTCTTTTCCATCCTGCTGCTTAAGATAAAAGAACTTGATGCATGAATACCACTACAGGGTAGTTGAGAAGTAAAAAACAAATTGTGCTCTCAGACATTTCAGCTAGTGGAAATTTTTTCCCAGACAGACTCTTACAGGAGTACTCAAAGACATATATAGGAATATTCATAGAAACATCACTCTGATGGCCCCCAACTATTGTACAAACAATTCAAATGTCCACCAACAATAGAATGGCTAAATATAGTATGTCCACAGAACAAACTACTATCCAGCAGTGAAAATGAGCAAAAGATTACTATACTTAAAAGCATGGGTGACTCTCACAAACAAATTTTTGAAAAAAGCCACACACAAAAACATATGCTGAAAGATTTTTTTTGTAAAGGAAGTTCAAAATCAGATAGAATTAGTCCAGGGTCATGATGGCTTTTTGAGTAGTGGTGACTTTGGGGGAAAATTGACTGGAAGAGATAAGAGGGAGGCTTGTAGACATGGAGATGTTTAATACCTTGGTCTTGGGAATAGCTACACAGATGGAGCAACTATAAAATGATGCACAGTTAATGTTTGTACACTCTTCTTTAGACTACAATTTAAGAAGCTTGGAGAAAGCTTGTAGAGAACCCCAAGGTAGTGGCACCCATGCCCTTCCAAAGGCCAAGTAAGGCTCATCAACTTCCCCCTTTCCTCAGAGGTTCAGGCAAGGCCAGGGAAGCAGAACACTTGTGCACAGGGCTGGGAATCCAAACAGCTGGGCTTCCTGATGGCTTCCTGTGGTTCTGCAGGCATCTGCAAAGGCCATGCTAGCGAGTCGGCCATCTGTGCCTTCCCAATGTCTGACTTTCTAGCCATTTAGGATGTTCCTTTGAAATACTCCTCCTTCTAGGATGTAACAGAGGCTCCTTCATCTTTCTGTCCCCATGGCCCTTCCTGTCCCCACATCTCCACTCACAGGCCCGTCTGTCCTCCGAGCACAGCCTCCTCAGACACTATGTGTTTCCTCAAAGAGGGTATACCATGGCCCTTAAAGTTCTGGGGCCTTCTACCAGGAGCCATGGCAGGCACACCTGGAACAGCCCCAGGCAAAGGCCTGCCTCCTCCTTGTGCCATCCCTTCTTGGGCTGGGCTGTGGCCCATGTAGTGCCCCATCCCACACAGTACCCTCAGTGCCCTAGCTGCAGCCACAGCACTGCCTGAGATGCTCTGAAACACACTCTTGGTTCATCAACAACTAAAGACAAGAAGTTCATAGTGGGTATTTCCTGAGATTATTTCTCTGTTTACATATCAATTCCCTTTTAAAGCACTTATGGAATAAAAGCCCCATGTGACTCTTGCTTCATAGGTAGCCTTGGGATGGAACTGGGTGGGTCAGAAGAAGAATAATTTAGCCGAGACTATCTTCTTCTGAGACTGAATGAGCATTTGAGATCAGAATGGCTAGAGCTTGGGTCCTTCACAGAGCTTGAATGTGAGCCAGACCTGCATTTCAGGAGGGAGCCTTGGCTTTTGTTTTGGGCTGCTGTTCAGGCAGATGGCACAATTTGGAATGCTGTTTCTCTCCAGAGGTGAGCCTGGCACTCATGAGGTCATGTGGCTGGATTCATGATCCTCATAGGACTGAATTACAAAGAGCTCTCCTCTAGCCCTTCCAGCTGTGGTTTGAAGTGTGGTACAGGCTGCAGACAGGCTTGTGGGCAAGCATGCACTGGGGTCCTGCAGTGCACCAAGGTGCTCCCCTCACCTGGTTTCCCATGGATGCAGTTCAGGCCACAATGCTTGACCCAAGCATCTTTAAGAAGTAAATGAAAATGTTTGCTCTATAGACTGTGTGGTCCTCTTCCAGTTAGGTCTGTTTCTTCACCCTGGCTTGCCTGGCAGGTACATGGGACATATCGTATAACCTAGCCTGGAGCTGGCCTGACCTCATGCTGCTGTTGACCCATTTCCTGTGAGAGCAGACCATGTCTCCAGAAATGCCTGTGCTTCCCAGTGAATGATGAGAATAACCTTGTCACCCACCCTCTCCACAGCCACAAGGGACCCAGCTGCCAAGTGCACCTGCCACCATGACCTGCCCCTGCAGATCCCTGGCACTAAGTTTGCACCTTGCTCCCTTGCCCAAACTCTCCTTCACCACACTCTGGGAGTTTTATTCCCCAGGACTTTGACCCCCTTCACCTCGCTGCATTTCAGCTCTACTTCCTGACCTCCTGGCTCCCATTCCTGCAAGCTTGAACCTCCTTGTTCTTTTCTTCCCATTGATTTTGTGAGCAGTCATTGTCCACTGGTCATCTCCACATGGGGACTGATGGCTTTTTTACAGATGCTTGCCTGTTTGATGTCCTCACCTATAGCCTGGGCTAACCTTCCATTGGTGTCCACTCAGAACAGGGAGAAAACCAGTAGCTCACCCTCAGAGAACAAACCCAAACCCAAGGCAAGGTCTGCTCTCCATGTCTGTAGTTATGCCCTCTATGTCTGTAGTTCTGGAGTCAGAGTCTGACTCCATGACATTAGTCTGGAGGGGGCAGACAAATTGTCATCATTTTGTTTCTTTGAAATGCACTGTTCTGATGCAAGTGAGAATGATTCAATCTGAAGGAATTCCTCAGGTCTAGGGGGTAGGAGAGCCTTGTCCTCATGCGGGAAGGCAGAAGTTCTACCTGCAGAGGTCAGTGTGCTATGGGACATGTGGAAGCACTGTGATTCCTGAGCCCAGCATGTCTTGACTTGGTCTGGCTTTTGTGGCCCCACTCTGTAGCATGAGCACCTGACCTGAGGTCCTGCCAAGCCAGCCTCATTCTCCTTTTCCATGGGTCTTGAAGATAGCATGCTTGGGGTCTGCACTTAGTATGGCCCTCCAGCTGTTTCCCTGAGAGCAGGGCCTGTTTCTCATGAGCAAATGTCAGCCCCAATGGCAGGACCATGAGTGGGCCATGGAGGAACTCAAGGCATCCTGGTCTTTAGAGGTGGAACCAACAAGGCTGAACACTGCACACTAGATGTGTGATCCATGGCATGTTTTTTTTTAAATTCCTGAGCCTCAGTTTTCTCTACTGAGTGAGGGCAACAATATGGAACTCACAGGGTAATTGTGAGGCATACAGACAACAAGGGAGGGCACAGATCAGGCCTGCATTAGATTGTTGTTTGTTAAATGGATAACTGCTGAGTGGTCTATTCATGTGTTTATTGGGGATCTTTGTATCATTTCTGGGCATTGAGCATACTTGGCCTTGCATGGCTGGTATTTTCTCACAGTGCTCCTCTTCACTTCCCAGAGAAGGTAAGAGCCCTCTGAGGGCAGATGTGCCCCTATTTCTATGGAAACATGACAGGGCTGCAGTGGTTTCCTGAGCTGAGCAGCATTTGCATTTGGGTAATGTCCACGAGACAAGCAACATGCATGATAGGAGAGGTACCTCACCTGAATGCTGTCCTCAAGGAGTATTGGTGGGAGCAGCCTCAGTCTGGAGAGATCTAGAGAGAGAATGCAGCAGTGCTCTGGCTGTTCTGCTCTGAGTCTCAGTGGGGGACTTGCATGGAGGCTTATGAGATGCATTAGCAAATTTGCCTGTGATGCTTGTCTGAGGGGAAAAAAACCTCTCCATGGGGCCAGAATTAAGATCTCAAAGACTGCAATAGGCTGGAAACACACTTGAAGAGAATGGTGAAATGCAATAAATATAAATGTCAAGTTCTACCTTCACATTTAGAAAATCAGTTGTTCAAGCAGAGTAATAGGGAGACCTAGATCACCAGCAGTTAACTGAAAAAGTCCTCCAGAGTTA